CCAAGAAGGAAAAGGGTGATTAATTGAGAGGGCAGGCAATTTTTATTCAAATCTAAATAAAATTCAGAGCTGACAGAAAATGAGTTTCCAGTGTCCCCTTCCGTTCAACCAACAATTTCATCCAAAGACTCATTTCTACTTTCTGTAACCCAAAACTGGAAAGTTTTTTTTGGTGGCTAAAATATGTGGAAACAAAACATTTCCTAGTTCTTTGCCATGTCACGTTTGGCCAAAAAAATATGAAAGGAAAGCAATTTTAATTGCAAAGTCCCACCTTTCATTTGAAGACATTGATCAACATTTTTCAGTCAGTCCTTAGAAATCTAAAAATGCCCCCAAGAAGAAAAATCCCCCATCTTACTTCGCTCAAGCAGAAAAGCCAAACTTTTGTTTAAAATGTTCCTGTCCATACCAAGTCTTATACTAGGAATATACAGCATTTCAGATCCCCACAAAATAAGGAGAGACAAAACTTTTTCCATGCTTTCCAAGTCCTCGGTAATAAGACAACCATGACAAACTCCTTTCCTGCGTATTTCTTCAGGTCACCTCCACCAGTCGCTTTCGGTGTCTTGCCAGTGGGGGAGCCAGTAGTATATTTGAATCACACTACATATCCCCAAATGCTAATTTGTTGGTAAAAGCTTAAACAGAGCAGATAATCATCTAAAATTTGCAAACTGTGTCGCAGAATGAAATCTGTGTCCCTGACCTGCAAAGGCCAGGGTTATCTTCACAAAAATAAAAAGTGCAATGAGCTCAAAGAAGCACGAACTCAGAATGAAGCAGAAGAAAAAATACTGATTAATATTTTTCCAATGATTCTAACAGAACTGATGTTAAGGACTTGACCTCCTTCGCAAATACCTCTGCGTACTTGAAGTACATCTAGTGTATCTTCTACCGCATACATTTTTGAAGTATTTACCTACTTCCAATTGACAGTGCTGGTATGGTCGTAGTCGTCCACCAAAGAGATAACCAAGAAGTTACATGAAATTTTATCAAGACAGTATTTTAAATTTTAATAATCTAACAACACACAGCTGAGTTTGAAGGTGGCAAACTAGGAAAGGCAAGTGTTGAACTCATTATAGACATCCAGTGAAAAAACAGACTTTGCTGATCTTGGTTACAACCGGATAATGTGGAGCAAGACAGGGCTTTAAGGAGGAGCTTGAACAAGTGGCATCGTTTAATGGATTCTGGGAAAAAAAGACATGATGTCACTTGTGACACCAGTTTTAGTGTATGCACATGAGAAATTGCTCTCCAAAGGAGGTACGCTAGATGACAGAAGTCACGACCCACCATTAATAAACGCAAACTGTTGTAAACTGCATGCTCAGAGATGCCCCTGCTTTCAATTCATTGCTCCTATCTGCATCTTCCTCTTCCCATTCATAGTTGAGCACTTTTTCAATCTCATGCTTGAAATTTCTTACCACTGATTTAGACTGAAAAGAACCACACGTGGTTAGTAAGCCGTAACTATCCAAGTTGTTCAACCCCCGCCCCTTTTTTTTAGATGATCAAAAATAAGCTCATTTTTCATGCTGACGCTAAACTCCTGCTGATGCTAAGAGTAATTCTGAATTGGAGGATGCTCAGAATACTTACAAGCATGAGGCAGGCTTTTATTCAGCATGCATACATCCAAATTTGATGGCAAAAGAAGGAAAAAGCCCGCTCAATGCAGCTATAGATGCTATAAAGTTAATTTTGTCTCTTTGTTTTACTTACAGTGTGTCAAACAGAATATGACCTTTTAAACATCACTGAATATTCCCAGATTACAATTTTCAGCTGCCCATATCCGTAAAGGCGTTTTGTTCTCTCCTTCTCTAAAAACCTCCTCCCCACTTTGATGTGCACCTCAATCAGATTGATCAGATTGAAGGTGAAAGCTCTTGGAACAGCTCTTTTAGGAGGATAACCCCTCCCCACCATCTCCTTCATCCCTTCAGACATGAGGTTGCTGATGAAAGGCTTTGCCGTGCTAAATCCTGATGAGTTCAGCATGGGCAAGATAGTGCTGGGCTGAGCGGAAGAGGAGCAGGGAGGAGCAGAAGAGCCAGGGGAAGCAGGAGAAGCAGGGGGCAAAGGCTTCTTGCACAGAGTTGCAGTGAAAGAGAGAAAGTTTACACTTTCTCTAGTCTTTAAAAGTTTGGGTTTTGAATCTTGTGGTGGGTCCAACAGGCTTCCCAGGGCCACTCAAAATTATTACTTCAGGGTTTGGCTCTCAACTACAAAATACACCATAGTAAGCTATTAGACTCATGGACTGAAAAACTCTTGATGAGACTGTCCCTCCTTATGCCCTCCCCATTTTCTTCTACAACGGAAAAGACCTGATCTTCCACGCTCTCTAGGTATCATGAAAGAAGGACTCCTATTTATCCCAGCTAAAGCTGGGTTTGCCCAAGCAATTTGATCCTCTTCAGTGCCTTCTCCAGACAGAAGTCAGCACTGGGACTCCAATGCTTTGGAAGAAGGCAACACAAGGCAACACAAATGGTATCTTCTCGGTCAAAAGTTCCAGCACCTGAAGAGCACTTTGCCTCATCCATTGCTCCGGGATAGAAATGTTAAAAACCAGGAGTTAAAAACTTTAGTCTGAGACTGCCAAAGGGCCAGAAGGCTGGTGGCACACAGATGCTGCTGGTACTACCGCTGCTGATTAACATACAACAAGGCAGAAATTCCCTGCTGAAACAAAGTGCTGTGATGAAGTGCTAAAAAGGCAGAAAGCTCTAGAAAGAGGAAGAATGAGACTTCTGAAGTGGAAGATTGATGGCTCTTGAATAGAGCTGAGGGACAGCAACTTCTCATATTCCTTTGCTTCCAAACAGCTGGCTTTGTGAAGATGCAAACTACGTAAGCTTTCCACAAGAGCGCTGGTGTTTGTGATGCTAAATGCTCCGGGGGTAAGGACTGGCCCAAGCAAGGCAGAAAGGGAGTGAAGGAAAGAAAGCAAAGCCTGACAGAAAAAGCAGCAGTCTGAGGTTCACCTCGTGTGCATGTTTGCATTTTAAGATACCTCGCTTTGGAAATATCTCCGATTTTACAAAAGGAAAGATGACGGCCTTAAAATCGGGAAGGCCAAATGGCAAGAAGAGTCAAAAAGGGTTTAAATCATCTCCAGGAACACAAACAATTAAGAGAGGTTCCAAAAATCACCCCTTCCCATCCCCCAAAAAGCTACACAACCAAGGGCTGAGCGTTGCCAAAAAGGGCAGTCCCGCCTTGCCCTCTCTCAGCAACATGGTCTGGGCACATCCCTTCTGCTGGCACCGTGCGCGCGTGGCCAGCGGTGACCCATGAAGTAACCTGGATGGAAGACAACCTGGCTGAAAGGCGGAGGAAGAAGGGGAGGAAAAAAAAAAAAAAAAAAAAAGTCCTGCTTTCTTGCACAGTCATTTTCCTGATTAAACATCTAACTTGGCTGCATAAATACGCGGGTACGTGCAAGGCTGGGGAGAGAAACACCTTGGGTGGAGTGTGGACTCTGGGTAGAGTCAATACCTACCATCACGGATCACGGCTACATCGAAAGGGCCTGCATGGGTGTGGGAAGTCGTCTGCAGGGAAGGGATTGCATGTTCCCGCTCTGCCTGGTGACCGTTGGCAGGGGCTGGGAAAATGCCACCCACAGCTGTACAGGCAGACCGGAGCAGAAATCACGAACGCTTCCATGAAAGATCTGTGGCGAGTGCTTCAAATGAGCTCAGTGTACATCTAGGTCACTTGAAGACCCCATCCTTCTCATATACAGCATAGCATCTTATATGCCTTTTACTTGAACTATACCAAAGCTTTGGCGTAAATGCGAATGACTACCAGGTCAATATGAAAGAACACTAATAAATAAGAGTCACTTTGGGCTGTGTATGTTAAAGTATCAGCCAAACCAGTATTTTCCCTTGTTTATCATCTGCTGCATTACTAGCCAGTGGAATGTAAAGACCTTAATTTATCCATGTTGCTATTATTTCTCTCTGTCTCTGAAAAGTCCCTGTGAAGTCTTCTTTGGGATCTCCCTCCAGCAGGTCAGCAAGCTGTTTTGACAGCATCCCAGTCCTGCTCAAAGCCCGGTCCAGCCAGGGCTCACGTCCCTGCGTGCCGAACCGCCGGGGACAGGGCCTTTCTTCTTCATCCATCTCCTATGGATGGCATATCACTCTCTGACAGTTTTCAAAAGAAGCAATTAAAACCAGTCTGTAAGTGAAGAACATTTTGATGGTATGGAAAAATCCTTTTTATTTTAAATGGCTGTTAATGTGCTAACCACCTTCCCTTCAAGCCTTCTGAGGAGGAGGCAGGGGATAATAGGTTTGTTTGGTGGATGACCGCATCAGCTAAATTGCTAACTACACAGATAGCAGATTAGTCATGCAAAAGCATTTGCACTTCCAAATGAATGTTCATTTTAATATTAACTGGGATGTTAGAATGGCTTGGACCAGTAGTAAAAATCCTGAACAGCAAGTCTTAAAAAAAAAAAAAAAATTATACCCAAAGAAAAATAAATTAGTATTTTCCCATTTTAAGCACATGTAAAAATCACAAGAAAAGTTCTGACTTTCAAATATCAAAGAAATAAAAATGCACAAGTTCTCAGTCCTTCTGCTTCTACAACTAAATTGCTTTAGAGCAAGAGTACTTCCTTTTTGTGGCTTTGTTGCAAACCCCTGGAACTAAAGAGCACCAGAATAATGACCTCAGCCGGGGTTAGTGAGGTGAACCGCAGCTCAAAGCATTCTCGAGAACACTTTTCTGAACACTAAGTATATGTTCTAAAAAATAAAAAAAGGCAAAACACAAAGGGGAGGTAAAAGAAAAAAAAACAAATCAGTTTTCTAGTATCCAGATATAATGAGCAATGACTTTGGTTTCTTCTGACAAGCAAATCTAAAAAAAAACAAACCAAAAAAACCACCAATCAAGCTTAACCTCTTTGAAAATAATACCATGGCACACATGCTTTCTCCATGCAAAACAAGAGGAAAATGGAAGCAACTGATGTCCAACAGCAAATTTCTTTTCCCTTTTCTTCAAAGGAAAGTTCTTCAAACTGACATTTAAAGTGGTATGTGAAACAACAAGGGGGAAAAAACAGGATGCATCTGACACAGCATATATTAACTATGAATCAGCATAAAAGAAGTCTGATTAAGCAAACTCCATAATGAAGAAGAAACGTTCAAACAACACATGGAATGTAATACCAAAAAAGACAAAGCCCATGGCGGGTATTCACTGAAGTCTCAGCCAAGAAGCAGTCTTGGCCAAGAAGGAGAAGAGGTCAATTTTCTGAAGCCAAGAGGCCGTACTTACTCTGTGCTTCACAGTCCACGCAGTGGGAATTGCCTCTGATGTTCCTTATGGACTGAAGGGCCATGGCCTCGTTCTGGCTCGTCAGGCGGGACTGCGTAGATTTAAAGAAACAAGTAAGAACCCAATAAAAAGAGCTAGATGACACAGTTGTCAGCTGAATGAACAGCGAAACCCAAAGCTTAGACCAAGGTTGAATGAACATGATCAAGGAACCAAAGTCCTTGGTTTGCCTCTCAAGAAATGGTGATCCTTCGGCATCTCCAAGTACCGCAAGTCCATGCCTGCTAAGCAGGGTCTCCTCTTTCCTCCCATGAGTCTGAGAGCTCAGGATTTCTCCTCCCAGGGCTATCTCCATCCTGCTCAGGAGCTCCCAGTGTTTTGGGGTCTCCAGTCTGGATTCTAACAAGCGGGGAGACTGCACAGAGGAAAACCGAGCTTCAAAATGAAGCCAGCTATTCACAAGTGAAGTAGTCACTGTGTAGGTTTACTTCTTGAGATAAATTAGATAAGAGTATTATTTTATAAAATCAATTTATTTTATTGATGTTTATGCTTTTGCTAATAAAGACTAAGGGATGGTTTGCGAAAGCAACTGAAACCTTTTTATCATCCAAAGGTCAGATTTAATCACATGGCTCCCATTTAAATTCCCTCCGTGATGACCTGCCAACGACCTCTACTTGGACCTGGAGAGACTGTCACGAAGTCCAAGTAGTTCAGCTCTACTCAGTGAAACCGTCTTGTGGGCTTTCTGACAAGAAAATTGTTAGCTGTACCAAATAATGGACTCTTTGCAACAAATTGATTTAAGCAGGATGAGGACCAGGTCATGTGGAGATACGTCCTCCTGGTCTGTCAACAGAACACCTACTAAACCTGTCCAACTAACCACAATTTGCTATTCCAGCTAGTTCTTTTGACGTGTTTTGAGACCTCAGTAATACTTTAGAGAAAAAAAAAAAACCCTCTCTGAGCACTGTAGAGGGTTGAATAAATAACCGGAAAAACTCCCTTTACACACATAATCTTATCAGCAGATTCTCCCTTTCAGAAGAATGTTTAATATACACAGAGGCCAATCTTCTCAGTAGGTACTGCATGGTAAGTATTACCAGCTACTCTTTATCTTCTTTTGTATTACTATTTTTATACAGGTGTTAAGTGTACATATTTTCTCTGTTGTGCTCCCTTAATATACATAGTTGAATGTGTAAATCCCTGAAAGGCAAAAACCCCATATAAGCAGTCATTTTTCTCTATCTCAGAAATATATATTGGAAATAAATCATGTTTTTGAACAAAATAGAGTAAATCATATTAGGATGATGATAATTACTGGTGTCTGATCTACTCTGGTAGATCAGGGCAAGGAAAGCAGGCATTCATTACAAAATACGAGTCTTCTCCTTGCAATATAAAACCATTAAAGACATCTGTTAGGTGGATAACGTTAAAGGATCTATAGGTCTGAATAATTACTCCTCACTTCTCTCCCTCCACTACCACTCAACACCTTGCTCTCCAGTTGTTAAGTGTCTGCAAACAGAGACTCAAGAGGCAGTTCTCTTGCCCTTCCAAAAGCGAGCAATGGCTGAAGAAGTCTCAGCTTTTAAAGATTTGCTTAGTTTGACAGGAAGGGAGAACAAAATACTTCTGTCGTCGTATGAAAGCATTACAAGGGAAAAGGTCTGTACCTCTTAGATAATGTTCATCTTCCCCCAAAAAGCTCTGATGAACTGTTTCTGGATTTGCTTTCTGTTATACTAGTTACAGCAGAAAACCATGAAAAATTAATTCAGTGTAATTAAAGAAAAGAAAAATTGTGCATATGCTTTGTAAAGCAACTAACACAAAAGCCATATCTTAATTTTGATTTTTCTGATTTGTATTACTTCACCATGGCTCCTCTGGCTGAACGCCACTGCGCATTTATGGTTAGGCCAACCAGAACGTTTAGTTAAGAGCAATACTCAAGGCAAAACAGATAATCCAGGAGCTCCACTAATTCAATTGCTGTAAAAAATAAACTGTAAAACAGGCTACAGCACCACAGAAATATCTGTGATACGCATGCAGCTCTAACGCTGCTGTCGCGTGCGTAATACACGCACACCTCTAGGAGCAGAGGTGTAAAATTCAGAGTTCTTGATTTTGCTTCCATCTTAAGGATCATCCACCCGTTACTTATTTTCAGTATTACTCTGCGTATCGTACCTTGTTCTTGCTGCTCTCACATGACTGTAAACTGGCCAAGATCTGACTCTCTATGGCTTGTACCCACGCATCTCTTTCTTCATAAGTGGTAGCTTCAAAGTGCCAAGTCTGGCCGGTGAGAGAGACAATGATAAACTCAAAGTTTTCTTCTTGTTCTGGAAAAAACCATGAAGAAAAGTTTTAGATTTCAGGATATCGATAGCTAGGCTCAAACAATCCTGCTTGATGAGCATTTCTGCAATGTAACGAGCAAACGTAGGTCTGGACATTTGAGGTTTGAGGCTAGATATATCCAACCACCCTGCAGTTGCACAATGCCTCAGAAACCGACTTGCAGATCCACTGCTTTTTCTCCCCAAATGTTTTACAGATAAAATACTGTTTTGGGCAAATATTCAGTTCCTGTGTGTGTTTTTGAGTTTGGTATCGAGTCTGTACCTTTCTTGAACACAAAGTGGCTAACAAGCATTACTTAGATTTAAACCTGAGGTGCTAAGACCTACATAATGTAAAAATCAAAGTGTGTCACAAAATAATTTAAAAGATGAATGGACTATAAAGAGCTAACAATACAGAAAATTTGACGATTTACCCTCTTCCTTCAAGGAGTTTTTTACAAGCACAGATATATTAAAAGCAGATGTGTACATTTTCTTGTCTACAGCATAAATATAGGGGGTTATAAAACAGGATTAAAATCAGTTCAACCTATTCAACATTCATGTTCGACATGGGAGATGAGAAAATGATCTGAGAAGCTAGGAGAAAGGGTCAATGAAATATCCTTAGGGCTACTAGAGTATAAGGACAAGTATTCAGGCCAGAGGACTGCAGCGTATGAAAACACCAGCAGAACTGAACTAAATGGACACATATGCTAACTACACATGGGACACCAAAGTCAAATTAAAAAAAAAAAAAATCAAGGAAGCTGAAACGAGTGGAATTGGGAAGGGCAGGCACAAAGCATGAAAGGAACAGAATAATAGAGCACAAAGTTCTGGTGAACATCAGCTGTAATGGGCTTTAGAAAGAGCATTTACATTCGCTTGTCTGCTAATGACTTATTATATATTCAGAGCCATGAAACTCCTGCATTACCTTGTCACCCATAAGCATGCAAAGATAAGTGACAAATCTAGCACTAACTTTAAAGACAGTACTGCTGCTAACTGGCAGTCATTTTCTCAACCTGTGGGAAAAACCTGTGCTTTTCTTTGATAAAGTCCACGCTAGCAAGGCCAGCGCTTACGCTGCTTTAATGATGCCTCAAAAAATAGCAGTAAGTTACTTTGCACCTTGAGGTGAGAATAAACACTGAGGTGAAGGTTATTTCCAGGCGCATGAGCTGCATGAAGCGTCAGTTTTACTAAAAAACTGTAGTGTGTAGCGTAAGCGGGAAAAGAAAAATAAGAGAAACGATGCAACTGTACAACTATAACTACTTTTCACTGAGTTAAAAACAAACAGGTAGACTCATTATCCAAAATGCTACGATTAAATCATGGAAAAAGCCACGTTTATCAAACAGAGCTTTCAAGAGGTTATGAGGAAGATTTAAGAGGAATTACTTAGCAATAAAGGAAATTGCGTTCAGTCCTGTGCGCTGTCTTCTGTAGGACCATGCACAGGTTGGTCTTCTACTTACGTAGAAGTGGTACGGCATACGGTCAGTGGGGAGGTTACGGGCATTATGCAGATGTTGATGAAAACAGGGAACGATGGGGAAGGAAGAGAACATGAAAAACCGAATCCCAAGAGAAGCAGCCCAGCAGCCCCCTGTGGAGTCCAATTGCGGAAATTCATCCTTCTTAGGCTTTTCAATGGCTTCCAAGTGATAAAACTTTGTACTCCTCAAGCCTTACTAAAGGAGGATTTCCAAATACCAATGTTCAGAAAATCCTTCCACATAAAATATTCGGTGTGGGTGGTACTGAGACACGTGTGTTGTTACGGCAGAGATCCTGCTGCATCGTATTTTCCCTGCACCTCTCTCCCCTGACCACATACCACACCACTTCTACGTAAACCAAAGGCGTGGTATAAGCTGAAGGAGCTGCCTACTAGAGAAAACATTTAGCCACCTCAAGTTAAAAGCTCCCCACACCACCCTCTCAAGCAGGGAGGAGGCCCTGTGAGGGATGCAAAGACACAGAAGAGCAGAACGACGGAGGAGGCTTCTCCGGCGCACGTGGCAGGGTTGACTTCTCAATGCATAACAGCTCAACAAGCATACGCCGTACGTAACTAATCACAGAGTCACAGAACGGTAGGGGTTGGAAGGGACCTCTGAGGATCATCTGGTCCAAATACTCAACTAGTATATATGGCATATCTTTAGAGAGCCTCTGCACCATCCTGTACCCGTTCACCCCAGCATTTAAGTACTAGGTGACTTTCCAGTGTTACAATCACAGACCTTAAAAGAAATATATACAATCAAGATGCAGCATCATTGAACCCTCCTGTTTGCCAATAAACCTGATCATATATATGAAGCTATCTATATATGGTCTCATGGTCAAGAAGGGCTCATGAGAAATAAACTCTGCAATTCGCTACAGAAAGTTATTCCCCTGCTTACGGGAGCCCTGTGGCAGAGGACGCAAACCTGTCTATCCGGGCGACCGGAGTGCGAACACCTCCATCCATTTCCCGTGGTCACTCTTTCATACGCCCAGTCTCCTTTTCCCAAAGGAGCGGCTCCCGTGTTTCACGTCCTGACCTTTTCTGCCGTGACCAGCTGACACGGTGACAAAAGCTGTGAAGACTTGGCACGGCCTTTGTGGCTCGGGATGGTGAAGTCCACGTAACACGCCGGTGAGCCTGTCCCGGTACGGCCCCGCCGGGGGTTACAAGGGCCACAGTGTGTTTTAAGGCTGGGCTAGAAGGACGTTTTCAGTAAGTGAACTCAAAACTTGGTCATCACTGATGATACATGAAGCAAGTACAAGTTTGCAATCTTTTATATCCACTGAAGATTCAGGTTTACTCCCTACAAAGCTCAGATGAAAAGCAACCGCGTCAGTCGAAGATGTGTTCAATAATACATTTGCTGCTTAAATACACCAATTTTTTTTTTTTGGTAAGCACAACTGTGAAACAAAGCAGCAGTGCCTGCTCCCCCTCACCCGCAGGGCAATGCCTACAAAAGACGAGTAGCGAACATGTACATCCCTTCACCACCACACACGCACACGGAGGAAAATCCAGGCAAGAGAATTAAATTGTTCAGTTTTACTCTTCAGAAAAAAAATTACAGGTTGTGCTATTTAAATCCCTGTGAGCCCAATCACAAAATTTTATTAAACAGTTTTCCATGTTTAACAGTTATTCACAGAAAGGTCCACTATAATAGTATTTTAGCACCATCAACCTGTCGAAATCAACCTGCCCAATTACTCCAAACTACATTAATAACACAGGATATTACACTAATTGTGTCCAGTTTCTATGCAGACGAGGTCCCGCGGGGCTAATTTTGCATCCTCGGGGGCTAAAAACTCAGCCATCAACCTGATTTCACCAGGAATCCCTCCTCATTACACAAGTCCAGGCTGTCAAACTTTTTTTGCTTTAAAAAAGGTTAATGGGCCAATCAGTCATCAATTATTTCCTGGAAGGCCAGCAGACAAAGGGTTAAAGTGCGAAGAACCAGCTGCAACTGATTTCCATTTGGAAGTTATTATCAACAGGAGATGTCTAAAATGTTGCTGCCGTTGTTTGTTTTGCCTTTTTTTTTTTTTTTAAGTGGGAAGGGGCGGTTAGGATGGGAAATGAGCTGAAACTGTAACATTATGATGCTATGGAACCCAAAGCGTAACAGATTTTTTTTTATTTTTTTGTTAAGTAGAACTGGGCATACAATCAGTGAATTTTAGGAAAACCACCACACCACTTCCAAGAAGCTACACGGTACCGCTGTTTATGCTGCACATACAGCTTTCACCATTATCTTTTCATAGTAAAGTTATCGTGGTTTAACCCAAGTTAACATTTATTTTGCTCTACCGAAACACAGACATTGCTACAGCCCACCCACTTATAGAAAACAAGATGTACAATTTCTTAGAAGTAAAGGATTGTGCAAGGGAAAACAAACATTTAGGCACGGTCTCACTGCATTCCCGTACCAATGCCTGGGCTTATTGTATGTAACAGAGATGAGATTTAGAAAACTGCACTGAAAATAACCACAGGATACAATTAGTCTGTAACTTGTTCCAGAGGACTCAATTAAGTTCACTAAAATGTAGGGAAAACACATGTCCAGAAGCAGTTACGCCTCTTGGTATACCACAAGGGTGGTTCTAAATGCCGTGCATGTATCAGTTTGTCCACAATTTCCACTTCCCACATCTTTTATTCTCAATATTAAGAATTGCATAAATAGCCACCGACACCTTGCAGCAGCGGTGGGTAACCACAAGCGCAGTTTGAGGTCAACAGAAAACAAGGGTCCCTTTCCGCCAGGCTCTCTACAGTCAGAAATCACACTCATCCCAGAAGTTTTCTTTTCAACAAAAAAATATTTCTATTTTTCCACGGGTATAAAACAAAGACTTGCCAGGCTGAAGGCATTTCTCATAGGTATATATGAGTATTTTGCCAGAATCAGAAATAAAAGTGGATCTTTTGGTTTCCAAGCCAACCATCCTCTCTCACTAGGTGCCAGATTGTGCGTTTGCATCTTTGCCCATCATAGTTGTCATCAGAAGATCCTGGTGCTGCTGCTAATTAATTGTAACTCACCGTGCATGTCTGGTAGATGACGCCACTCACACAGGAAACGCTTCCCAGCAACAAGAAGTCAAGTGCAGAGCCAAAAGATTCTCAATGGAGTATTTCAAACGCCCGTGAAGCATCTTCAAGAGTTGAGGTTACAGCTTGAATCCTAGTCAAGCCTGTAACACTGAGACCTATTTAAACTCTCTTTGTCACGCCCTCCTCCCTCTCTGAAAAATCCCTTCCACTCAAGCACCCTTCCTTAATAACCCTTCATTTTGTCAAAAGGATGAGATTGAAAAACTGCTGAGGTGCCCTAGCAATCGATGTTAGATGTTTACAATATACAATTTGTTTACAACAGAGGTGCGTGTTATTTATGCGCTATATAATGGTAACTATCGTTACCTTTTGCCACTTGGTGTAAATC